GTATTCATTGAGCAGTAGGTATAGACACCTACTTCATATTAAGAATACATTATGTAGGAGTATCTAATAGATAAAATAAATAATAATCCTCCGTGCGCCCGTCTTCCGTTAACTGAGACTGGATCCGGCCCCTGACAACAAGCTATATAGATACAATTTTAAAAAATAAAAATGAATATACCAGGTACATTTGATTACTTAAAATAAAATTTAGGTTGAGTTAAATAGTTTTAAGGCTCTTTAATTTTTTTTAGTCTATAGTTCATACTTTTCGTGTTTCCATTTCGAGCATTGGCTTAAATGACATTTAAAGACTGAGTCACGTCCGTCGCGCTGAGTATTATGGGTATATAACTCTTGCAGTAGGTACGTAGGTGCCTATACGGCTATACGTATACTTAATATTATATTAATAATTTTGTCGCGGACAATCGTATAAAAGCGAGAGTGATTCGTAATTGTCTATAGATTATAGTATGACGACAATACGACATTGTACGAAATAGTATATAGTGTCCTGCAGGCGATATTGCGTGTTTCAGCATTTTATCGATTTTACGTCATGGGCTCACGAGGAAATTGCTCTCATTATAAATTGTTGGGCAGACCATATCTATATACATATATACATACGATATAGTATACAAATGTATACCTGCTGTCTATAATATAGCCACTCGTGGTAGTAGCTGATATAAAATCGTAATCGGCTGTGAGTACTGGGACAGCGCAAGAAAATCGATGACAGTGAAATAATTATTCGCGAATGATAACGGACGATTTGTGCAACGAGGCCCGATAGTATTTTCTATGATTTGTTTAGGTGTATAGAGACGTATAGAGTACTGACCGTTCCTTCCGAGATTTTTGGCTTGAAACTCTGATAAACCGATTTACTCTATAATAATAATTAAATCTAGTGCTATATGTTTCTCTGCCATAACTATTGTGACTCCATCTTGCAGTCTTCAGGTACCTCGGGTTTTGGTGAATCTTCAAATGTGCTCTAGATACTTCTTATACCTATAACATAGAATGTATATTTAATATTTATGTGTATAGTATAGGTATACTAACTATACTAGTAATAGTCTAGTATGTACTGTGGGTTATAGTGGCTCCTGTATAGTGTATGTCTATAAAGTGGAACGTATTATATTTTATGTATAATATACAAAATATAGTCACCCCGGAAAACTGTAAAAAAGTCGCGAGTTTAAGTATAGACTAAACATAATTCCAGAGCTTTATTGCTTGCCCGAAATAAGCTAAAGCTATATGGTATCTTCGTGGTAAACGCATTTCGGTAACGGCGTAACGCGCACTCGTAAAATTCAAACGAAAACGTGTGAACGTCCACCTACCAATGTGAGGCGATACCGGCCGCTGTTTTCTAGACTGCATCGCCGGAATAACTACGTATTACGTATATCGGAAAAACACTTATCGTTAATATTATTATTATTGTCCGATATTACAGCTTTGACGTCACGCGAAATCTCTCGTCGCAGTTTTCCGCGGTCAACGTGTTTACGCTTTTTAACCTCTAGCAGGCTTAACCTGCCCCTAAACTCGTTAATAAAGTAAGTCAATTATAAATTATACTTAAATGTTTATTTGAATGTTAGGATAGATAAATATCATGATGAGTTTTATAGAGACGAACTAAACCTTCTGGGACTCTGGGAGGAGGAGGTTTTTTAAAAAAAACATCCTCGGTGGACCTATAAGTCTCCACGTCTCCCCTAAAATATCTACAATAGCAACCATCCATTAGTTCTATACCACTGTGTACTGTACATATTAGTTAAACACAGTTTTATTTCATAACGTGCAAGCCGCGTTAACCCTTCGATTTTTCTCGTAGCGACGATTGTGCGCTTGCGTCGCACCGGCGTTCGAGGATGAGACAAAACCGTCGTCTGGCTGTTTGTGGGGTTACGTCACTGCCACATTTTTGGCTTCCAGCCCCGAGATTCCGTTTATAAACTTGTGTGTATGTGTGCGCATGCTTTAGTATATTTATGTACGCACGAAAAGTCTTTCGCCCCCCCCCCTCTAGAAATTCTTGGCTCGACCGGGATCCTTTGGACGGAAATAGACGCGTCTTTAATTATAGAGAGATAGACGGGAAGTCAACCTCAGTCTGGTTTGATATTGTAAGTTTTCTGGGGCGTTGTATATCGCGTCGAAAACGTACCACCCAGTCTAACAGTATCGGCTCAATAATACAACAATACAATATGTACGCATAGACGCATCATATAGCCAAAGCATAGAACATTTTTAATATAAGACATTTGATCATGACAATTGATCGATGGCAAATATACAAAATATCAGTATCATCCCACATTGGAAGTAATTATTTATTATATTTAAATGTTCTTAAAACAAAAAACTGAAAGTAAAATAAAACTGTTATATATATATAATAGTTTAATGCTGAAATCTATGAATTAATAATAATAAAAAAAAAAAATAGTGACATGAATGAGAATAAAATATGGTTTGTTATTTTATGACTGTACTTTTTTAAAAGGGAAAGCTGATTTTTTTTGGGCCACAATTTTTCGTATAATTCATACTCTACCAATTATAATTCATCAATAATAGTGTGTAACCTATATATGTTTATCATGTGCGTTGTGCGTTTGCACTATGCGACCGCTATCGTATATACCGCATGCGTTCATAATTGTTATACATCACAAACAAAAAACACGTGTGTATGATATACGTGTTCCACTCGTGTCATATGCGAAACCACGCGCCTCGATACTCTCTACAGTGTTTATACTTTTATAGGTGTCTCTAACGTGAACAAAAGACAAAACAATAAACTTGAATTAAACCACACGCGTGAGTGTGAACCATAATTTGATAAAGCCGTATAGGTGTAATACTAAAATCCAACGATTGTGTGGTTTTTTTAAAAATATTTTTCTAAGGTATAAATTATATGATATTGATTCCGAATACGCCTTTGGTAGTCCTCCAAAAGTCAGTGATAACTGATAATTAACAAGTGGGAATACGCTGAGCTCTTGTCTCGCAGCGACGAGGGCGCTCGGCGGCCGCCCCTGAAGTCTTACAAGATCAATACGACGGCGTGAGGTCTGTGTTGGCGAACAGAAAAAGGTCGTCATCCTGGGCACACGGTATATATATATTAATATATATTATGATGTTATATCGCCCGGGCCGACGCGCGATGGGGTGGCTTTTATCGATTTCCAAACGTCGTGTTCTAGGGCGCATCGATATAATTAACTCGCATCCATCAACTTCCTCTTATAGATTAAATATTTATAGGTATCTTAATATTATAATATGTGCACCCCATATTTCACAACCGGTATGTATACTGGTATACACGTCATGAACACGCGGCCTGGATGAAACAAAACTCTACGCAATATACTTGGTCTTTTGAGTTCTGGCATTCAAATGTAAAAAGGTTTCGACTGTCTGCGGTACTATATACCTACGGGTGATGGTGAGTTAGTTTCTACAATAACAGGACATTTTGTCATTTATTTAGACGAAAATCAAATAACTTAAAAAAATTATATTTATGATATTTTAAACATCACATTGTAAGGCATTTATGAAATAACGAAACGATATATTGTGAACGAATTTCGATATGGTACCCCTGAAATTAAGTAAAATTAGTATCTATGTATATTATCGAGTTTATTTGATATATTTCGATGCACTAAAATTGCATACTCAATGCGCCTTGTTATAAAATTCGTTCGTTTAAAATCATTAGCAAATTATCTTATATAAAATATTAATATCTGATTTCAAACTTACGTGTTTACACAGGGTTGTTCCCACGAAATGTTGAGTGGCATATTGTCTATATAAATACGGTTGATAATACATTTATTGTCAATATATCTTAAAGCCATGGCAGGGACGATATTATACCGGGGGAGTGACGTCACTGTTATTTATTATATTCAATTTCGTATGAAAAATAAAAACGCGGGCTTCGTAGTTCGTATTTCATAATATAATATTTTATTGATCGGCTGAACGTATGGAGGAGGCCTTTTGGTTGGAGGTCAAGCTCCCGGACGTTGCATTACGACGAGTTCATTGGTCTCGAACTCTCGAGTGTATGCATGTGTGTGTGTTTTGTGCGAAGCTCCAAAATGCGTAAATAATCTTAATATGTATACGTCATACGACCTTCGCGGGACGACCGCGAGAATAATATAATATATAATAGTTTCTATTGTTTAACACGGTTGTACAGTTACACACTTACACGCACACATATATTATACGCGCACTGTAATATTTTCCATCGCGTTATTGTAATTTTATACACGGAAACGAGTTATGATAATAATAACTCGTAATAGGTATTTGTACATCGTGAATTATCTCCGGGTGGTTGACAATTTTCACTCTACGCTCGGCCATTGATAATATAATAATAATACACCGTCATCGCCGCGCAAGCATACAAATAATTTATGTATAACAGTATTTTAGAGAACTAGGCGCTTGCATCCCGATATCCTAAAATCTTTTACTCGCGTAACCTTTATCAACGTATTTATTTTGATAAAAATATATTTAAAAAAACTCGTCTTAGTAACTAGTGTAGGTTTTATAACGTATTATAATGACTATGTCATACGCGCGCATCAATACGTCAGCTAGTTTTAAAAATACACACTAGCATTAAATCCTCTAAATATTTTTTATTATACATAGTTAAAAGGCATTTGAATATATTATGACTTGATAAGATATAATCGTGTTCGCCAAAATATTAAATGTAATTTTTATCCGATCTGTAAATATGGCGCAGATAGCATTAAATTTGAAAATTATCGCTATTAATGTATTTATAACTTAATAATTAGCTAGTATTCCTTATAATCTTGCAAAATTATTATTGTATATTGTGAACACACTTAATTATCATCATTAACAATTTTGTGTTAATTTAATATTCTTTGTTTTGTTTTTTTCAGCGACACTAATCAAAACAAAAACATACCAGATGCAATATCTGAAGTTACTACAGTGCCCGACCCCCACGATGCATTTTCAAAACTTAAAGTATATACTGTAAGTAACACAACACACTTACGCAACATATAATATTTAATGGGAACTAAGTACTTCTAATTCGAAATATAATGCAAGTATTGTAGACTGTAAAGAAGTTTTTTAAGAGGACACTACACTGACAGTTGACTGCAGTTCGTGGTGGATATATTGAACGATATTATATAATAAATAAAAAATATTACATCAAACATTAAAGAGTGGGGTGTTCTTTATTACCTATTGGATTACCATTAGTTATCAAAGTGTGAAAACCATACAATTTTACAATATTTTACTGTATTTTTGAAATAGAAGTTGCTTTCATTCATTCAAAATTCAACCGATTTCAAAATTGTCTTTTCTCGTTTATACAATTAAATAACTACAAAATTACCCTTTTCAAATTTTTAAAAAATTGAAATAGATTTTAAGCATGGTAAAAGGGAGGCTATTAATTATGTATATATTACATTTAAAATAATTAACATCTATATGTCAATCTCAGTATTATATTTCGAATTAGAGCTGCTGACTTTCTAATTAATTAACATCCTACTGTATAAGTAGGCAATATATGTAATACTATAGTCTATAAAGTATAAATTATAATTAGACGAAATCGATTACACATATTTGATATGTACAGAAACAATTGTGTTATTTGAGACAAAATTAATAACACTGTTTTTTAAAAATTTTAAATTTGTTAACACATTTTTTAGGGATACCAATTTGATACGAATAATGTAGTCAGTATGAATAATGAAATGATCAAGAACGACTTTGTGAATGCGTCTACATTGATAAATAAAGCAAAAAAGAAGGCCAAAGAAACTGATTTGTATTTAAAAAAGCTACATGAAAAAATATTGCCAAGGTGTCAGTCTGCAGATATCACAAGTGACATAGTTAAAAGGTTGTTTTTTTTAATTGAATGCAAGTATAATGTATACTTATGCTCGATTCTCATTAGATATTAATAAGGTGGGTGCACAATAAGCCGCTAACGCGAATTTGGTGTACATCGAATACAAGTATGGACGGTAGGCCGAACAAACGACTTTGTTTTATTCGTTCGCGTTCAGAGCGGTTCGAGAAGGTGGGCTGTGGCGTTAACAATAAATACAATTTGGGATGGGTCGAAATTCAATTTTGTAACAAACCCTTCATTAATACCCTCTAACTGATATAAGGGCATATGGCAAAAAGTGGCAATTTTAACAAATATAAATAGTATACAGGACGGCTATTTATATTTTATAAAATATAAAATATATATAGTCGTTTAGGTATAATAGTATTGATATAAAACTTCTTGAACTTTCCACTTTTCAAGAACTGTCTTTTTTGAAGTTCGGGCTGTTCGATTAGTTCGAGAACCCATCCCTAAATAAAATACATGCTTTTCAGTGTGGATGACATTCGTGATTCATCCCGTAACAACGATTCGATATAACTTTTATTCGATTATAAGACTATAATATTATGGCAAATAGGAAAAAAAATGCTGTGCATATAATTAGCATTCATTCATTACAAAAATAACAATTTTATTAATTACAAATTTCAAATTGCAATTCATTATAAATATACCTAATCAATTAATTATTATTTATATATAGAGATATTTATGCAGATATTCCATCAAAAATCACACGGCGATTTCAACCTGACCTTAAAGAAAAATTAGTAAGATTAAAAACTTAATCATTAATATAAATTTAATTTATTTAAATATACATTTTAGGGTAAGAATATCTATACCAATCATGAAAATTCAAAAATTATTTCGAAACCAAAGTCTGCGACACAAGAAAAACGTGTTCATTTTAACAACTCTTCGGGAGATTTAGGTGGAACGAACAATCCTCATCAATTGAACGACTCGTCTACATCAATTGAACTGTTATCAAAAGACAACTGCCGAAACGTTAGTATAACGAATGTGAATTTTGAGGATAATATTCCCGATGGAAAATATACTAATGACTGTAAAGTTAACAAATTGACGGTGCAGAGAATTCCGTGTGTTAATTTAAAACCTGATCTAGTTACTCAAAAATTAGTTAATATTCAAATAAAACCAGATAATAAAAAGCTTCTACGGTAATAGAATATTAATAGTTATTTTTAAATTAAAATATTTTATTGATCCTATTTTTTTTAAATATGTTTTATATTTAGTAATTATAAACCTAATGTAGCCTACCAAGAGTTTGCTTTTGAATTAGAACGGGAAACATGCAAATGCCATTCAGTAGTTCAGCCAAAAATTTCTAATGATAAAATAGTTGCTCGTCACGAAATACGCAAAATTATATGTGGAATGTTAGATAACACGGCGTCAAACTATCCTCTTAGCGATCAATTAATTAGTCAATTGCAGAAAATAATAACAAAGTTGGAAGATACAAAATCCTTTGATTATAACGAATCAAGTGAAGTAGAAGATCTTATTGAAGAACACAGTATGGTTGGTTTTAGTGAAGAAGTAATCAAAAAAAGGTTATTGGAAATAGCTGAAAATTTAGTAGAGAACGCCAGTGATGGTACTTCAATAAAGATATATTAATAATTAATTGAGTAATTATGTATAATTTTTTTGGTAATTTTAACTAAGAACTAATTTTTTCAGGAATTTCATTTGATCAAATGTCTGTAGACATTGAAAACAATTCTCGTCAAGTGTTAAAACGACTAAGTAAAATTAAAAACTCCATCATGGCATTAAATCCAATGGTGGAAATTCCAAATTTACCTGTTAACAATAAACTTGATGATGCAGCAAAATATGTTGATGAAAGTCATACAAATCATCATCCTAGCAATATTTTGTCCCCAAAAAGTAAAATATCAATATAGCAATGTTATCTTACTAAGATTAAAATATTAAATACATTTTTTTCAATTCTTTTCTTTTTATAGATCATCATGAAATATCATCAAACCGATGTGTCAGTGTAAAAGACTTTTTGCGTCATGGTTGTAATTTCACAAGCTTGAAAATGTAAAAATCTTTGTTATTATGGAATAGCATTTATTGTATTATATATTAATTTTAAATGTACTTAGGGTTAGACTCTATAATACTATGCATTACATTTTTATTTTAGGTTTAAAAATGCATCAGTTATAAAGGAATGTGGTTCTCAAATAACATTATGCTCCAACAACGACATTAATCAAAATCAAAATATATTTAATACTCAAAGTGCTTTGAACAATCAGAACAATATATCTCAACTAAAAGTAAAAATGTGTACCAATATGTGTTTGTGATATTAAACTATTTTAATAATGAAGCAAAATAGTATTTCAGTCTTGAGTTTTCATGGACTGTAAAATTGCTTGTTAATCACTTTCTTCCTTTTTCAAAAGTCTATGCAATGCTATTATTTCTTCAAGTTTAAAAGTATTCATGTTGAAACTTAATTCAACATTTGTTGCTACCTTTTATAATATTTCATTACATTTTCATAATTATTAGTATTATTAAATCGATAACTATGGTCTTAATGTTGCACCGACAATTAGCAATTGGAGAGCCAATTAACCTAGTTTATTTTGAAATACTGTATGGGATCTATGAAATGTACAGGATTATCATTAGATTCACATGCAAAATGTATTTTTATGTCAAGCTCAAACTTATTCTAACTATTATCAACATACAGATTATTTGCATCCTTGTTTATTTTAGAACATTTTGAAAATTATCATCAGTAAGATACTCTTAAAAAATATTTTGGTTTTTATTATTTAGAAATAGTTTCAGAAATATCCAAAAATATTGTCTGTGAAAAAATTACAACATACCTGCAATGATTTCATATAATAAATCATTCCATGTTATTATAGAATACACAAATTTGAAAAACTCGTATTATTGTAAAGAAACTATACATTATAATGAATATATTTTGTATTTTCTTAAAAGTACAATGTTTCAAATAAAATTTAAAATACTATAACTTTAATCTATAGTTTAATTATTTTCATAATTGACTCTTAAAATGCCGTTCTTGTTAAAGAGCTGTTAATTCCATCATAGACTTGTACTTATATCACCTATTCCCTAAACAGGCCCTGCTAGCTATGGGCTACTAATATCCTGCTCAGAAAGAAACATATCTAAAACCCAGAACAGGGTTCTCAATGATAAACAAACAATACTATTCTAATATTAAAAGTATTCTTAATCAAAAAGTTTAAAATTATAAATAAATATAAAAAGATTTATTATGATAGTCATATTTATTTTCAATTAGTTCTGAATCAGTGTATCTTTAATGTTTAACTATATTTTTTAGAAGCATCAACTAAAATTTCAAGATCAGAGTACATTATTTGAAGATTCTGTATCATCTCAACCTCGATCAAGCCATTCAAATGCAATATTAAAACATCAATTGAAGGCATCTGATGATGAAAATCAAAATAATGACGTAAACAATTTTACTTTATATTTTCTTATTTAGTAATTTACCAGAGTAATAATGAGTATTAGTTTAATACATTCAGTGGGAAAAAACAAAATTTAATGAGGGGGGGGGGAATTATTTTGAATATTAGATATTTTATTTTTTAATATTAAATTATTTTTCACCTTTTGCACCATACATGGCCCTACATACCTTTTATATTTATGCTGGCCATACAAACTTATTGTCAAGGTATTGTTAAGGTCAGGGGCAGTGCCATAGCCAGGATTATTTTTAGGGGTAGGGGGCTACAATATTTTATTGCTAGAGCTAGGGTACTACTGGTACCTTGCATAGTAAATTTGATATTTGTGGGGGTGGGGGGAGGCTAAAGCCTCCCCCCCTCTAGCTACAGCACTGGACTCAGGGGACATCCACAGTTGGGTACCCACGAAACCCCACCCACCTTAAAAAAGTGTGGTCTCTACTCCTGGGTTTTATTCTGTGGTGTCACTGAATACCTGTAATAAAATATTGAAATTTAAAATAGAAAAATTATGATTATGCGACTACGGCTAATGGATATGATTGTGAAGCTGAAAATAGTTTGAAGATAAATTCAGGAATAAATAATACAGTTTGTAAAACCAATAATAAAGACATGATATTCAGAAGTAAGTTTTTAGAATTTGAATCATATAATTAAATTTGAAAAAAATTCTATAAAAATATTTTTAGAAAACGATCAATTAACTAAATTTGAGAAGGATAAAAACACCGAGATGTTAGAGATAAATAAAAATATTGAACATTTTCCAATCAACGATATCAGTGAGGACTATGGTGATCTTAAATCAAACATACAAGATTGGAAATTAAGTTCTTTATCATCATTGACATCCAATAATTATCAACACACAGACAAAGCACAAATTATAGACGAAAGAACACACAGTTCTGCTTCAACGACTTCTTCAATGGTAATAATACATTATAATTATTAATTATCTATGTTTAAACTTCATTCAACTTACAAGTTACAAGACTAGAAAGTAATCAAAATAATAACAAACTAGTAGAAGTTTAGTAAAATGTACAGCTTAACTCCTAAGTGAAAGTTGTAACTGTATTTTTAATAAGACTAGAAAAAATGATAATTAACTGAGAAATGTATGCATATACTTAACACATTTAAAAGGAGTTCTGAAGAAGTTTGATGTTTTAAATACATCCAAAAATAAGTTGTTGACCTAGCTTCTATTATATACTAAATTCAAATTATATTTTCATAAAAATTCATTTATTTTTGTATTTTAAACTTTAATCTTATATTGTAATTTATATAACTTCAAAGTTCCAAGTACCTACCCATATTTTAATGACAACAAATTAATGGTTATTAAATGTATTCAGTAGATTTTGGTATACCTATTTGTTATCATTGTAAAAAGTTATGTGTTTTGTACATTAAATGTGCTTATTATTCTAAAGTCATCTCTAAGCAGGATTTATAATGATTCTTTTGGACTTTTATTATTGTACACTAGGTACCACACATAAAATACAAAACATAGTCCCCTACATCAATATAATGACCAAGTTAACTTAATTATATGTGTAAATAATTATGATGTTGATGTAAACAATATTTTGTGAACTATTAGATATTAATATTTTATTGTTATTTATTGTTGACATAGATTTCATTGAAACAGTCTACTCAAGAAGTTGAAAGTGAAGCTGAAAGTTTAACTAGTCTTGGAGAAGTTAACTATTTTTCTAAATGATCCACAATGTATTCGTCTGCAGGAGAAGTTAAACATAAATAAATAGTTTAAGTTGATTTAAATGTTCAAAGAAATATTATGATTTTTATTTAAGTGTTAAGAGCAGGATTTCCTTATAAACAATTATTTGAAATTGATAGCTCCTTTATTTCTAATACAGTACCTATCCTTTAGAAATATATCTATAGCAATTTCATAATTTGTGTCAATAATTTAATATTTAAGCTATACAACATTTACACAACATCTATGAATAACAATTTGTATTTTAGTGTTTTTAAAAGACAATTGCTGAATTGCTTAAGCGATCGATTAATAATTTCACTAAAATTTAATTGACCAACCATAGTTTAATGAACTATGTTTAAGGGGCCATTATAGTCATTAGAATGAAAAAATGAAAAAAATTGAAACTTATAAGAATGGGCATGCTCAACCCATTGTGACAGAGTAGGAAAAGCCAATGATACTTGAAAAAATTAATTTAGATGATATAAAATTACTTTTATTTACTCACCAATCCTCAACCACTATTTAAGGTGTAAATTTATTTATTTATTACAAGAACAATATTCCCTCAAAAAAAAACACGTTTTTCTCTTAACTATAAGTGAATTAAAGATTAAAAGATGTATAACAGAGAACAACATCGTAAAATAACATATAATAGATAGACAAGCTCTTCCACTACAGCGTCTACAGGTAATATCGTCCATCAATAATTATATGATTTAATTTATCTAGATATTTGATTAGGTAGTTATTATTAAGGTTTTGTGATATACAAAAATTAAAAATTACTATGCTACCTAATTTGCAAATTGCAATCTACAATATAATAATAAGTACCATGGCCCACCTGCACATCCCCTTTCACACGCTTATGCTTATGTCATAAAAACTAATGTCTATGGTTGCCTAATTGCAGGTCTGGAAGTGGTTAAAGCTATTTAAAAAAGTGACTGAATTAAATCATAAAAGTGCCAAAAAGTGACATATATATAAATTATAAGTAAATTCTTATAACTTACTGTTATTAAACCACTAAATATAATTTAATTGATTCTTACTTATTTATTTTTATAAAAATTATTAAAAATAAAAATTATAATAAATACAAATATTTGTTCCAAATTTCCAATTGACTTTTGTTTCCAATGTGATACAAGTAGTTTGTAGAATATAAGACAAGTCTGCACGAACAGATATTTGAGGAATTAAGTTTTTTTAACACAATACAATTCAAACACTTTTGTTTATAAACACCTACTAACAACAACAAATTTTTATAAAAAGTGACTTTAAAAGTGACTCGATTTCAAAAAGGTGAATTACTTTAAGCCCCATAAGGCCATAAATGTAGTTCTACTTGTTTTATTCATACATATGTTGGTTAAAGAAGACAATATACATCTCCTAACTCATAACCAAATCAAAGAAAATAGGAATTCCTTAGTGGTCTCGGTCTGCAATGATACACCGTTCCAGGGGCAAGCACCAAATACTAATACAAGAAAACCATTGTTTACTTCAGATTTTAAAATTGAAATCATAGTCATAAAACATTATTTAGAAGTTTCATAAAGCTAAAAAAATTAAAATTCATTCATATTATGAATGTTTGCCGTTGAAAGATTATAGGTAGTAATGTAGTATTATATTTATTTATAGACCTGTCTTTTTGTCAATAAATAAACAAAATGTTTATCATTCTTCTTAGTTCTTACGATATTACTTCATAATTCATATTTCTACGGTGACATAATTTGGTAATGTTTTTTTTAGTGTGTAATCTGTAATATTTTCTTAGTTATGTTTATGTACAGTTAGCTTACGGGAATCGGGTTTTAATGTATTTGATTCGCTGGTTTTAAAAATTCATTTGTGGGGGGTGGGGGTACGACACCCCAACCTCCCTGTAATCATTACTAATCACACCACTGATCAATGTACTTCTAACCTCACATTTATTCGTAAGTTAGTAACAATTGAACGTAAAATATAACAGTAGATAGCCCCACTAGCCAATATAATTTTGAATTGTCAAAAAATTAAAAATATTAACTCTGAATCATTCAAGCAAAGGGTTTTGACAAACCAAGATCGATGAAAATAACTTTGACTATACACAACAATTCGGGAAACTCATAAAATGTTTCGGAAATACCCAGTGACGTAAATGTAATTTCAGTTTTTAATAGAAAGGGACAAAAGTTTTGACCAGCTCAAAAGCGTTAACACAAATAAATATATTTTGTTCCTTTTCCTTGATAAAACACACATGTCACATATACACCAAGTATCAACCTTCATGCACATGCTCGCGTTCGTAACGTCCATTAGTTTAAATATGAATATATTCCAAATAATTTTTTTTTTTAACAAAATTTTATATTACCCTATCTGTTACAATTAATGAATAATAAGCTTAAGTGATAAAAAAAAATAGAACAAAACAGACAGAGAAAGACAGAGGGAAGAGACCACCCATCGACCCATTGGAGGTACTTCAGCATGATATAAATTTAAAGTTTTAATCCTTTTTTTTTTTATTAAACATAGTGTATTTACAATCTATACAATGGTATAATCAGTAAGACAGTAAGTGTGATACTGTGATGACATAATAACAAAATAACATTAATAACAGAAAAGGAAGGCTCCCAGCAGTGCCACCTGACCAGAAATTTTTTTTTTTGTTATTAAAGTATTTTTATTCAATCTGTTTCAATACATGAACAATCAGAATAAGAGATGAAGTAAATAAAATAAAATAAAAAAAATAAAAATAAAAAATAAATGATAGATTATCCCGTAGAGGCCTCCCAGCGGAGGTACTACGACATGAGTAGGACTAAATTAGGCTAGCAGGTCGCGACACCACTGTCTTTTAAGTCTTTTAACTGGGTTACCTGGGATTGAAGCAGATGATAGGTCGGAGATTAACGGATTCTTATGGCGAGCTAAGCGGCTATTGAAACGTTTATAATGAGTTTTGGCTAGTTCAGAGACAAATGGTATTTTGAGATCAGTGTGGAGGGTGTGATTAGAGACATAGAATGGAGCTTTTAGAATTGTGCGTAGAGTTTTGGATTGGAATCTTTGAATGCGGTTGATGTTGGAGATTTTGGCAGCGCGCCATAGTTGAATCCCATAAGTTCAGATGGGTCTGAGTAGGAGTTTGTAAAGCAGGTGTTTGTTAATTGTTGGAAAGTTTCATGTGCTTTGATGTTAGAAGTGAACGAAGGAGTCGGAAGCGGTCATTTAGTGTACGGGTTTTGCTAATTATGTGAGGTTTCCAAGTGAGACGGCGGTCGATAAGGATACCAAGGTAACGTATGCATTGTGCAGGGGCAAGTGGTTGATTGACCAGAAATTAGAGTTTTTTTTTTTTTATTATTATGTTTTTTATTATGTTTTTTTCATTATTGAGCAAATCTCTTGGCCATTGCCTTTTTAGCCTTCTAGGTAGGGTTACCATCATGTTTTTAGACCAAATCCGGACATCAGTTCCGTTTCCGGGGGAGGGGGGGTAAAATTAAAGTTAAACAGTATTGTTCTTTCATTAATACAATTTTATTTAAATCTATAAATAAAACGTCTACATAAGAGTTATTAGGTTAAACATGTTATAATTAATTAACTTATACTAATAAATAGAAATTAGATATTATTAATTTATACAGAGTGAACCCAGAAATCTGTCACCAAACATAACTTTCTGTATCAATATAACCACGTTAAACGGTTACCCTTATAAAATCCGGACATTTTTCAAATCCGGACGCCAATCCGGACAGGTGTTTGAAATCCGGACGTATGGTAACCCTACTTCTAGGTATAATTGAGGTAGAGGATATACATTTAACTATGGGATTTGGATGAGCTCGAAGCTTTGAGTGAAATTTAATGTAGTAGGATTTGGCTAAGTCATTGAGTGTTTTAATCCTAAAATAATAATAGTAATAATAATACTACAATGAGTACATAGTAGTTATAACTCATAAGTATTCCGAATAATAATTACTAATTTATCATTGAGTAACAATAATTTCATAGTATACAATAGAATAATTTTTCAAAATATTATGAAAATAGGCATATTTTTACGCCAATAAAATATAATAATGGTTATAATAACTAAAATTGTTATTAAATTTGAATGGCCCGAAGACTAGCGGGAACATATTTGAGGTTAAGAACGTGCGTTTACTTCACTTTCACTTCATTACTCGATGGTTTTGATTTGTAAAATTTAATCGCCTAGCAAAAATCATCACGACCGCGAGTGCATAACTGAAAATGGAATTTTCACGTTCGTTGAGGTGATCAATCAAATTGAATTGGCTAGTTTTCCAATAATTTGCATAACCTCAAAAAGCGTGGATAACGAAAGAAAAAACGGTTGGTCCGCCCCTCTTCATCACCGCACCATTATCGGGTGCCGCCACAAGCGTCATCCCCGCGATCTTCCCACGACGACCCGTCCCATCGTTCCACAACCACACTACCTCTTGGCTTTTCTCTACCCCGCTCGTGCTTCACCGGTTCCCGCGATTTATTTGTTGATATTGTTGACATCTCCCGATTGACGGACGAACGCATTAACGACGACGACTCGCCGAATGCAGCAGAGCTATCGTGTTTTCCTCACTAATTTTGTTATCGGTCTCGAACGGCCTCTGCGATTCGAATCCTGCTCGCGCGTTATCGTGACATCATCTCTGTCCGGTCGTCCACCGAAAACCGCATCCATGTAATCTGACTGGTGGTGATTTTCCCGGGCAACTGTGGCGTTCGAAGACGCTTGTATAACGATCCTTGGACGTGTCCGTCCTGCTCATCACACGTGAATCGTGCGATTCCTGTCACGATAATATCCTGTATTTCAACCGAGTACGTATGTATCCACATGATAGCTGCACACTTGCGGTTATTAGTGGTTTTATATTATTATTATTATAATATATGGACATATTATACATTATATGTGAACAGTTTCACTCATACCTACGAATGAATTTTGTGTCATTGAAGACGTCGTTGCGGACGCGTCTTGTGTGTACAGTGTGCCCGTCGAATCATAATGTCATCACCTTCTAATGACGGAAATTTAGTGAACAATATTCTAACCATAACTTCCCACGGGCTTGTGGAGAGAAGTAAACCGTTACAGTTTCATTTGAAAGTCTTTGGGGCACTGCGTAAGGGTCTGATCGAACTATTTCTACGAAATTCGGTTGACGTATGTTTACAGTTTTACATTAACGTAAAATTGTACAACATGTTATGAATTTACTTGGCAATATTTTATCTCATAAAACTGGTTTAAATCAAATATTAATTAGAATAGATGCAAAATTGATGACTTTTTTCACATTGATACTGACACTGTGGCACAATATAAAATTGTCATTTGCTTGTCCTTGCCACTTTTGAGTGCCTATGTGTGTTTGGGTAAGACTCAAATAAAGCTCGGGCTCGTCACCATGAAAATATCAGAGGATGGAAATAGGGCCATCATTTCAATTCGATGAGTTTCGAACCACGTTTGATTGCACTAAAATTGGCTTTCCCGTACTCTTGACGTGTTTTAATGAAATAAACTAAATTATAATTGGACCAGTAGAATTCAGTATCGATCGTAATTACATTGGTTATTGCTGAATAAGAAAATAATTAATAATTTTGGTACCTACATGAATTCATTAACCTGCTATTAGTCACTCTATGATCAAAATATTCTATTCCTCTCACATTTTCTAATTATTATATTTTTGTAGGTACCTATCTATTTTAGTGTATAAAAAAATATATTGTCTGTTAATTATTTATACTTACCTAATTATTTGAGAATTTTTATTTTTATTTTTCAAAAGATTTGTTTAAATGAAGTAGGTTATCAGCTTTTTCAATAAATTTCAACTTTTTAATAATTTCTTGTTTATTAGTCCCACTCTTAATTAGATGGTAGAGACTGATATACACTGACATCATAATGGTGTATTAACATATTTTTTTATCTTCAAAGTTTTCTACCACCTATTTTGATCACCAAATATCATGTATAATACTATTATGTATGAATTAGACAAACCATAACAAAATAAATGGGTATGTCAACTGCAATAGGACTTTTAGTCCAGCCAACACATTCTATATACTGATAGCAAACACCAAAAGGCAATCTCACCTATATACTAAAAATTATATTATATTATATTCTATCAATGAGAAGAGTAAAATTAGTCTTATTGACGAGATGTAAAGTGGTTGGCAAATACGCTGAGTATTACAAAGTTGTTAAGTTATTCCTAATTTAGTTTGTGTCTTGTGATGAGTCAAGCTACAATTTTCATGAACTCAAAATTTAAACTTTTTTGTCAAACTTAAATCCATTTTTAACTTTCAAACTGAAATCAGATACACACTTTTAAAATTGTAAAAGCTAATAAAGGGTAAATGGGACAAATTGGAAATTATAAGGTGTGGATATTTTTTATTTATATTGAACTTGATTTTCCTTAAACTGTTTGTAATGATGAGTTTGAAATATTTAATTTTGAGTATTAATTTCCAACAACCTTCAAAATTGTTTGAATTTCTCGAAGTTTGGGGTATTTAATAAGTTCAAGAACTCATCCTTATTATTATGTGACTAATAATTTTTTATAAATTGTTTTTTTAATTTAGTTTTGAACTATTAATTTTTGAATTTTCAACATTTTTGTTTGAACACTATACTTTTCATGTATAGCTTATAAATTTTAATTTTTGATTTCGAAACACCAGTGTTGAGTATTATAACATCTATTTTGTGGCTTGTATTCCATAGTTAATTATAGGTTTTAGTTTCTACGACCAACAAATTTATTTTCAAATAATTATTTTATCTTTTATAACTTTAAAAAATAACTAATAATATTTTGGTAACTTTGTATTTTTCTAGTTATCAACAATGGATAAATCTGAGAGGAAGAAATCTGCTGGTTTAAAAGTAATGAACAGATTTGTATATTGTATATTTTAAGTAAAAATTATATTTACTAATACTACCTATTTAACATTGATTTGTATGCTATACAATAATTTGATGTATAATTACTTCATAAAATTACTCTTTTTCAATTTTTTTCCCCAAATTTCCCAAATACATTTTTTTTTGTATGCCAAAAATTATGGGGAATCCAAAATTTTGTAGAAACCTAAAAAGGTGAAAAGTCACTTGAAGTTTGTCGTTCTTGTGGTTTTATAGACCTACTCAAGGTGGTTTTATACCAACAAATTGAGGAAAATTTTTGAACTAAATTATAAGTACCAAGTATGATTTGTTAAAACTTTGTTTTCCCCAAAACAGCATAATTTAATCATTAGTAATATACTAATAACTTTAAAGTTGTATAGTTGATGACTGTATGTCTAATTATAAACATTTTATTTTTACCTTTGAATTTGTTTTAGCGTTTTGTGTACATCCTTTCAAACTCATAATCATTTTGTATTTTTTTATAAATATTATAAAACATTAGTCAATTATACTCAGTTAAACATTTTATGTGTTGTAATACATTGATTAAGAATATATAGTAGATGATTTCTATGTTGGTATCACTGACCACCTATCTCATTAACTAGAGTACTGACAACTGTACATCGAAAGAGTTTTCTTATCCATTTTAGTTGTTCAACATTTTTAAGTTATTATATTTGCCCTTTTATTATTATGGTTTTAAAAAATGAGTACCTATATGGTAAGTTTAATATATTGTTTTTATTTTCTATAAGGTATTTCTATCAGTGTAAAAGTTATAAATTACATGCAAAACAATTTAGTGTGTATTGTTTTAGTGCAGATTAATAATAACAATGTTAAAGATAATTTGTCATAATTTAATATTTACTAATCTTATTAACTAATGTGAATATAATAAAACAAATATATTATATAATAAAACCTACCCACTTAATACTTGTGCGAATAAAAAATGCTTAATTTATGTATTATTCTTTATATAAAAACAATTTCATTTCATACCAAGAATTAAGTCTATATAGATTAGCTTATATCAAAAATAACATTCCATTTTTTTGTCGTATTAATTGTGTATTACAACAAGATTGTGTATGATGAATTTAAAAAAATATAATTATACCTAATTTTTATTTGTTTATTTTTTAGGAAACCAATAAGCTTTTAAAACCAGAACAAAGTTTTATTGGATTTGATATTGATGATGAACTATTGATAATTATTGATAATAAGAAAAAATGTAAGGTTTTTGTTTATGATACGTTTAAATAACTTTTGTATTTAACTTAAAATTTAATGTGTGTTGTACTAATTATACATTTTATAAACTTTTTTTGTTTATGACCGCGTTTAGCATTAAAAATGGAACTCAGTAAAGAAACAGGCGAACCTATGGAAATAGAAGAGCCATCAATTGTTAACAATAATCATGTTAATAAAAAGAAACAGTCTAAATCAAACTGTAAGTTGTAAAGACTATATTTGTAAACCGGCTTATGTTCTTATATTTTATATCATGTAGGTGAATGCGTTTTAAATTTTTAATATTTATATGTATTGTTTTTATAATTGATTTTTAGTAGTATCATCACCAGAACCTAATGACAAAAACAGTCGAAGTAAGAGGCTTAAGAAAGACAATTTACAATGTGATACTTTAGAATCTTCAGAATTACATGTCCCTCCTACTTTAGGTGAGTGAAAATAATGTAAAATACATCTATTGGAAAATGAACAAATTTTCCCTGTCGTTAATAGAGAAAGAAAAAAATCTCCAATTCATTCATACTCAATATAAATACACACTAAACATTAACTTCCATGGTTATTATTATATTCTAACATATTTGTTGTGTTGCTTTATTTACATCTTAATTATCTTATGTTCTTTATTGTACACACACCCATTGTTCATCACCTGAACTTCTAACTGCTGTGTATTAAAAAAATATTCTCTTAGGCATTATCATTAAACTTTATTTGATTGAATAAAATATCAATTACATTATAATTAATAAATTAATCAATTTAAATTAATAGTCAGTTGACAACTAAGTTTTATACCATTAAGATGCGGATAAAGTATAGTGGAAAACTTGGTATATTAAATTTTAATCTTTTTGAATTGGCATTTGGTATTTGGAAATGAAAATTCAAATGTGTATTGGAGTACCAACACAATATCATATATTATTTATGGTTACTAATTAAGTACTGAATAACATTATATTTTATAAATATACCTAATTCATAAAAAATTTAAATTAAAGAAATTAAAACTATAAAATAAATAAATATAGATATTAACAGCCTATGAAAAAATTGGGGTAATTCTGTCTTAGGTTCAGAGGTATAACATGAGTAAAGAACATATTATTTATACTACAACTTTTTTTTATTATATGAAGCAATGTCAAACCTTTTAAAAATATTATCCTCTATAATTTTTGTAATATGTAATTTTATTCTAAGGTCACTCAAAAAAAAAATAAATATATGAGAATTTGATGGATCTATGTTGTTAGTGTGTCTGAAGGCAAAATCAAATATTGCACTGACATCCTCTTAATAATATAAATCTAAAATTGCAATATTGAAAAATAAAAAATATCAGAAATACTTATTTGTTTTAATTTTTGTATATCTAAAAAACAATAATATTCTATTATATTTTATCAATTTCTCATTTTATTTAAATAATAAATAATTATATTGCGATTTGTTTGGGTTTTTGATTGTTTTTAAACATTTTATTTTTTATTGCAATTATAATATGATAATTACTTCACATTTTTTACTCAAAAAGAATCATATTTTTTTTTATTAATTTTAAATTGTGTACGCTAAACCTTAGTATTTAAAAAAAAAAAAGAATTATGGGTAGCTTGAGAATAATTTTAAGAGTATAAATTTGTTACACCCCACAATTCACTAGGTAGGTGTTTGGTTCAAATAATGTGTAGATTTGCACTACAATCAATAATTTTATAGTATTAAGTACCAACTAATGTAAATAATATTAAATATTAAGATTATATTTGTTTGGTTTGATATCTTATATTTACGAATTATAATGTTTCTCAGAAATTTCAAATTAAAAGGGTAACAGTTATTTATTTATGTATCTTATGTAATAAAAGTTAATAATACCAATTATATTTTTTGTTCGTTATAAGTTTCATAATATGTGTAATATTATAAAATATTTATTTCTTTTTAATATTTGTAGAACTTAGTACTCCAACATTCAACCTTACCTCTTCTAACTCTAGAACGCGCCGTAGTACAGGTAGAAAAATAAATGTTGATATCAGTGATGCTATTTATAAACTTCCATTTGAGCATGGTAAGTAAATTGTATTAATGTTCTATATTTTTGTATTATTTGTGTTTAATAATTTTTAGGATGGAAACGAGAATTAGTTTACAGAACATCGGGTGAATCTACTATTCTTAATCGGGCAAATAGAAATGGTGATGTATACTATTATTCTCCAAGTAACCGAAAACTTAGATCATTACGAGAAATTCAGGAACAATTGGACATCTCAGCTGATAAAGATCTAACTATAGAAAGTTTTACGTTTTTAAAACAACCAATTGGCATGAATGACCGGTCTAAAGAACTGATCAGAGATGCAAATTCTAAATTATCTAAAGTAATGAAAACAAATTGTATATGCTTAAAGTGAAAATATCTATTTTTTGTCTATTGTATGTAGCAAGTTATTCCATAGTCTTTAAACAATTAAGAAAAAAATTTTAATTTGCCTGCTTTACTTGGTATATTATATTAAAAATTTTTATTTCTTCCCTGCTTTTTCTTGAATTCTTAGAACCTTTGAATATCTTAAACTTCAAGAATTTTGAACAGTTAAAAATTTTTAGACTATTTTTAGTAATAACTATTAAAAAAAAATTTTAATTTAAAACCTAACAATTAAAAGTCAAAAGTTATTTTGCTTCTATTTTATAAAAAAAATTTTTAATTAAATAAAATAGAATTTTTTAAAAGTTTGTCAGCTTGCATAACTTTCAATTTTGAGTTTATGAAATAATTTTTCCTTACTAAAAAAGAACTTACAATATTATACATTTTACTAGAGTCATTTTCAATTCTTCATACATTTTTATGTTTTTAGGAAGACTCTTTTGTTGGTGTTGCCGTTAGACCTAAAAAATCTAAAACACCCGTAGTACAGCGGCCACCATTTGATTATGAATTGTCAGATGATGAAAACAACAAGTCTTCGAGTAAAATGAAAGTTGTTTTTAAAAATGCTAAGACTTCCTCAAGATCGAGATCTAAAAAAGGTAAAAGTAAATACATTTTTCACACTATTTTATTATTATTTTTTAAAATATGATAAAGGGAATCAATTTTAATTTTGTATACCAAAAAAAATATATTATAATTTGTTTGTATCTTACTATAAACTTATAAATTATAAAATTAACCAAATTCAAACAATTGGTAATGACTTGAAATTGTCAAGTGCTACTTGTATATCCCAAATAATATTAAATCTCATTGTAAAATTTTAAAATGCACACATACAGGTAATCTATCTGAAATATTAAAAAAAAAATATAATTCACAAATTTCAAAATGTGCATTCAATATAATTTTCCATTCGGTGGAACTCCCTGTCCCTGTGTATTTATCTGCTTCTTATCTGTTTGTGTTTTATTGTGCAATTTAAATTCAGAATGAACATTTTACATTATTACATAGGTAATTCAGAATCAATGAATACATCTTCATCTACACCTGAATACATATCTGAAGACTGGCAAGCTATTAAATCTAGTGCGTCACCTAAAGTTTCTTCTCCAAAACTTGATGATATTGATTTAAATGACACAACCAATAAAAGACGGTAACATATTGGCTTCATATTTTATTATTATGCTTAAACAGTTTTTTGCTTATTAGTTTATTATTTGGCTTCACAAATGTAATGCAAAATTAAGGGGTTGTTATCCTTATGCTTCCTTCATAATCCTTCCTCAATCAAACCATATACGTGAATGGATAAAAATAGGTTGTCAACATCAGATGGTGAAGTCATTATGCAGACACCTTGTGGGATACGGTGCCCCAATAGTGATGAACCTGCCACTTTAATGTGTGCTCAATGTCTGGTCTACTATCATCCAGCATGTGTAAATTTAAATGCTAATTTAAAAATTGTTGGTTATGTCTGTATAGTAAGTGATTATTTGCAGTTGTCATTATTTTTTCAAAACAACTATTCCTTTTTTATTTATATTTTTTATTTAGAATTGTCGATCTACTGTGCGACAAAGAAATAGACGTGTACAGTCTTCGCATACAGTGGTTGTTGGTGCTTCTGAACCGGAACAACTACGTGTTGAACCAATTCGTATACGACAAGTTCATCAAGCGTCAGATACACCTAACTTTATTATTGATAGAACACCAATTTCTAAAACTGAAGAAACCCATTATGAAATTGATGAATATAGTGATGATAGTGACTCTGATATAATAAATACAGTTATTTGTCAAGGAAATGTATACAAAACTACTATGGTTGATGGTAGTTTTCATGAACAGTATGTCTATGAAATGAAACAAACACGAGGACCTAGTTTGATGACTTGTGTTATTCAAGAACCTAAAAATCTGGATGAGTAAGTAAATCTATTTTTATATTTTATATCTATTGGAGGAATGTAGTAATGGACCAGGCACACAGTAGCGTTGGTCATTGGTCTTATTTGTATGAATGAGTGTATGTTAAATGTTCAGTTTTTTACTACTTTAATCATTTGATTGTGTTTGTTTTCAGATTTGAGCAGAAAGTCAGCATTCCTATATTCCTTTCAACCCCTATTTGTTATTAAATGATTGTTTCATACATGTTCTGAGGCCTAATTTTGTTTGCATGTTAAAGCTAGTGGTCTTTATATGTGCCTGGTCAAGAACATAAATAAATATTTAAGAATGCTTTCTTACAATAATAACAACAAAATAATTATAAACTTAATATTTTTTTTTCAATCAAATTTTCCAGGAATTCTGAAATGAATGGTTCAGTAAGAGAAATTGTAACACCTTTCGCATCAATGCAGTCATTCAATTACATGGTCAAATCGTTGAGGCATGTTTTTAAACATCTGAAAACGCATGAGCTTTTATCAGCTTCTAGAGTATGTACCGCCTGGCATATAATTGCAATGAATAAGTTCTTAGTAAGTTTTAACTTTAAAATTTTATGTAATGTATTTTTGCTAATTTATTATATATTTTTAGTGGCAGAATGTACGTTTAAAAAATTCTATGGTCTATGACTGGGAAAGATTCGTAGACTCTATTGATCAACAGAGAACTGATACATTAGACACTAGACGTATGTTGATACCTGTTAAAGTTGAAGAATTCGAAAGTTTTTGGTTGCGTTTTTCTAAAGCAATGAAAAGAGCACAAAAATTAAAAACCATTGAATTGTATAGATGTCCTACCCATGTAGTTGAAGATATTATTTACTCATTACCTCAAATTGAAATACTTAATGCTTCTTCAATAAAGTAATAAAGAAAATAGAATTCATTTTTTTTCAACGGTTTTAATAATTGATTTTATTTTTAGAAATCCACATGTAACAAAAGAGGCAAAAAATGTTAATGATTTGATGGTCCTAGACTTAAATTATTTGGGACAAATGACAAAGCTCACAGAATTAAGACTAAAAGGTTTAACTGGAATGAAATTGACGTCATTGCCATCATTTGAAAAATTAGTAAATTTGAAAAAAATTGTAAGTCTAGTAACAACCAATCATATATATAAGAAAATTAAATAATTATATTTACTCTTATTATTTTTACTATCATTATTTAGTCATTAACCTCTATTAAATCATTTCCAAAAGACATCTGTCCGAGTTTGGATACTATCACTGATAAAATTGAGATTTTGGAAATTGGAGATTGCGATTGCTTATCGAAGGATTTTGCAGTATCCCTTAAAAAATTTGTCAATCTGAAATCATTGAGATTAGAAAATTGCTGTGGTAGATGGGAACTATTTGCACAGGATGTTTTTACTGTTATTAGAAGTCTTGAAAAGCTCACTATTTTGGAATTGATAAACATAGAATTCACTAACTCTGTTGAAGATGAATTGGAAAAATGTTATGGTATTAAAGCTTTACTGATTATTCCTGCTTATGTGAGCCAAGTATGTATACTTATTATGTATTATATTATTATATAAAATCTATTTATTAATATTTATCCAATATTGTTTTGTTTTTTTTAGTCTGCAACTACTAACTGTCACCTAATTGATTGTCTCAAAAAACTCTCCAAGACATTAACTCATTTGGTTTGGGGATTGACTCATGAGTTACTCCGTGTTACAGACTTATTTATAACTCAATATCAGCAGAATCAGCATACTATTGGTTATAATTTAGATATATCCCAAACCAAAGAAGCAACCAACAATATACCTATACTGAGAACAAGAAAGCCCAGACAGCGACCAGGAGATGAGCTTGTTCCCGAAAAAGAAAAAGACAAGTCAGATAATGTTGATATACTTTCAGTTCCTGCTCTAGAGCAATTGTTAGATACAATGATGCCTGATGCTAAGACTAAGGTAATTAAGGTTCCCTTTTCTGGAACAGTTAGAGTTTATTTGAGTGAACACTATACTGATCTTTAAACAAAATTTGTAGTATTCATTTGTTTCTTTACATGAGAAACCTTTCACGTTATGATTCTATTTTTTGTGACCATGAAAAAAAATTTTTTGTACTTCAAGGTGGAGATTATAATAACAATTTAAATTATTAGTTATAATGTATATGTATTATATTTTACTATATGTATAATAATAACTGATCATTAAGCTTAAATATTATAATACATTTAGTAGATTTATATTTGTAATAATTTTATTTCATTTATAATTTTTTTTTTCATTTTGTAAATAATATAAATCTATAACTTGAAAAAGTAAATATTGCTATTCATTGTATAGTAATTAAATTTTGGTTCAAATCTAAATAAAATTAGGTTCAAAAACTTTTTAAGGAACAGAGATAAATTGTATGTACTTTTTATGAAAAAGAATTCATGCAGTATATAATTTTTAAAACTGAAATCAATTGTCTTTAATTTAGATATGATTTTATGATTTATTATAAAGTTTGGTACATTTTTTTTGTTATAAAATAAATAATTAAATTTCAATAACCAACTATGTATCTTGCTTAAATCCAAAAATAAAATAAAAACTGTCTTTTTGTGTCTGTTATAGTACTTGAAATAGGTACATAAAGGAAATTGAAGGGGTTCGTGCAAGAATGAGATAGATAACTCCATTTTTTTTGAAAAATGAGGTTTTGGCTGTTTATCAAGAAAAAAATTATGAGTATATCTGTGCAAGGACGAGACAATTCCGATCATTTGTATAGGAGATATAAAGTAAATGGAGTTGTCTGGTTTTTTTTTCCGTTGAAAAACCAGATAACTCTGGAGTTATCTGGTTTTTGCTCCGATTGTTGTCTACTCTGAATTTGTTTTTTTTGTCTGAAAATGATTCATAAAATCATACTTCAATAAATAAAACAGAATGAATAATAATATTTTTTTTGTATTAAAACAAATTATGAATAAATAATAAATACACGGTTCTGGTCAAAAAACAAGACAACTCCAAAAATGTAGGTTAATATTAGCTATCATCTCAAAGAAATTAAGAAAATCAAATCAATTACTACGGCATCTTTTTTTATCGTGGTCTAATGTATCTAAATTAATTGCCAAATTATATTTATCAATAATTTAAATATTTTTTAATTAACATTATTGTTTCCTGAAAAGTTTTGAAAAATGGAGTTATCTCGTTCTTGCACGAACCCCTTCAATTGTGTTTCAAGTTTTCACCCTATATAAATTGTTAATTTTTCATAACATTCTTTATTAAGAGGACGTTAAGAGTTATGAGTATTTTAAAATTGACAATTGTACTTTGTTTGTACATCTTAATACTCATAACTCTCTTTAAAATTAAAATATAATAAAAAGCCCATGAGATGCCCTCCATAATAATGTCACCTTTAATTTTAAAAAGAGGTCAATTCACTCTAATTTTTAAATTAACAGATCTAAAGGGGATCTGCTGAACATAATTTTGTACGTTATGCACTTCTAAGACGAAGACAGCACATGCGGGTATAATGTCTTCTTAACTAGCATATTGAAGACAATAATAATTTAAGTTTCTATATTAGTATTCAAAACTTGTTTATAACTAATAGTTTTTAGATGTACTCATCAACATGGGTGGATATCTTTCAATGAAAAAAAAGCCATTACAAATTCATTATGTCAAACTTTAAAAAAAAGGGAGGGGGCTTGCTGGAAAATTCTAGGCTTCCCAGTAGGCCTATCCATCCATGGTCATGCATATAAAATGTATATAAGAGCTATCGATAGTTGATACTTGATCATTATCCATAAATGTCAAGTATAACATTTTTGTATTAAATTAATTTTATAAAAAACCGTTAAATCTAAAATCTTTTAGAAACAAACAATTATGACTATATGTTATATACATTTGTAACTATTCCAAATGAAAAACGATTTGAAGACTTCATATAAAAACTTGAGTAATTATACAATTATCTAAAGGTCTATAGTGTTATATTACTCCATGATATAAATATACAAATATTATCTGTGTTTTGAAAACGTAGATTTTATACTGAGAGTTGTACAAACTACTACTAAGGTTCTTATGACTTCTGTTAATTTTGTAAATTGTCTCTTTTCAATTTTTAAAGTTGTTTATATAATAAATTGTATGGAAATTAATAAATTCAGTAAAAAAAAAAAGCTGGTAAGTGGATAATGCTGAGCTGTACATTAGGTGTCTAGAAAGTATAACTAATAGATGCGTTAAATTCTAATTCAATAATCGTTGTCCATAAAAAACAATTCTGAGCGAAGAAGACAGTCAGCCTATAATATTACTAAATAAATTGTATACTAATGTGATTAAAGTAATTTATTTAGTAGTCATTAGTACTACAATTGGTTAAATAAATTTGTGCTAAAAAAATTGCATTTGAAAATTGTATGGTACTATTTTGTCTAGGGGTAAGTGTACAATATAATAATGTACTCCAAAAGTCTCAAGTAGCCATGAACAATATTTTTATAAATTTCAACAACATAACAAATAGTTTTTTTTGGTTTTAATACACAATTTTGAACAAATAATTATTAATTTATTACTTAGATTTTTTGGTTATAGTATGAACTATTAATGAGAATCCTTGTTTTAGTTTTTAGGTACATACTTAGCTTTAAAAATAGAACATTTAATAATATTTGTTAACTTAAAAATAGTTGATTAAAATACTTATAAAAAATATTGCGTTTATGGATCATTAATATTTATCATCTGCTATTATAACAACTTATAAGCAATCTTGTATTACATTTTCAAGCTTTTTGACTCAACGAATACAATTTTACTGGCATTTATACAAATTGTATGTTGGTGAAAGACGTAAGCGCAAAAATAAATCTTACAAAAGTTCCAAAATCGCAGATAGTTACCTAACATATATATTGTTGGCATGTACTTACTACTTAGTAAACATTCCTATTTCATGTAAGCTATACTGAAAGTCAAAAATTAATTTTACAAAAACAATTACAAATAAAAAACCATATACTGTATCATTTTTGACATACCTAATATATTGGATGTAGTTTTATATTGGGGCAAATTATATGTAATTTGTAAACCATAGGTGCTTATGTCCCAAGGCCAAATAATACTATTTTTATTATAGTTAGGTACTGGCCACACGGCACACTGGTGGCTATAGAGTTTAAACCCTTCGAGAGCAGGTATGAATCAAGTTTATATATTATAAATGAATGTCAAAGTAGGTACCTGACTAGTTTTTTTTTAAAAATCAGATTCCACGGATTGGACAATTTTTTTGTGACAAAAAATAGCGATCAGGATTAAGAATGAAGACCGTTGACCCATCACGGTCTTATAATTCATGACATTTTGTCATGTTATAAATTATAATTGTTCTGAATTTCTGATGTATTAAACAATTATATATGGGGGATACTGGGATTGATAAATCTACCTTGATAATAGCACAGAATAATGATAATAGCAAATAATTACCTGTAGTGTCCAATTTTGATAAGGTTTATCTGTCTTTTACGATTACCAATGAATAATTATGACACTTGTTTTTTTATTCTTTATTTTCATACAGTGGGACATGGATTATTATCATCGTAATTTTTAGTGATTCAGTTAACAAAGAGTGTGAATAGGTATTGAATAACATTGTACAAGCTATTTGTTCTCAACAAATGCTGAAATTTTAAACTCTCACAGCAAACTTATATAAAGTAATGATATATTTTAACAAAATACTATTGTAAATCATTGGACATGGCCAAGACTGTTCATTTTTTGTATATTTACTTGTTTTATCTAAACGCACGATCATCATTGGCGTCAAATGTGTCCGTATCCATGTAAGTATACATTTTTTCGTGATTTATTTTTAAGATCTATGAATAGTGTATAGTATTTTTAAGTAAATGGTTTTTAAATAAATTCTGCATTGATGTCCATTCAATTCTCGGTCTAGAGATGTATTGCCCGACGGATGTCAAAATCTCCTGCAATCATTTGCCAACGAGACAGCCAGGTTCACGCTGTGTGTAGTAACTAATGCTCGGCCAATCACTGTGTGTGAAAAATGCGTGAACGAGTTCAATCAAGTATTCAAGAGATATGAAGAAATTCAAAAGGTTAGTAAAATTGTGAAATAATCACGAGTTGCATAATATATTAAACTGCTTTTTTGTCCTCTTTTAACAGTTACACAACAATGATAGTGAGGTGGACTGTCGTGCAGTTTTGACTAATATTGATCGCTTACAAGTTGTATACGCAAGTTATAACTATGTGTTGGACATGTGGGAAAAGGCTTCTTGCAAATGTTAGTGTTTAAATAGTTACTACAACTAATATCTATTTTTCCCACTTGTAATATAACCGATGTTTTATTTTATAACTATAGTATGTTTAAATGGTACTGTTTTCAATGAAAAGACGAGAGGAGTGATGATACGAGGTGATAGTTTAGATAAGTGTATATCAAAACACATAAATAACACAGAACATTCAAACACATCACTTTGTGCAGATTGCAAACAATACTACATGAATTTAACCGATTACTATAATAAGCATAAAAATGAGAACACATTTTGTATGGATGTCGTTGATTTGGTGAGTGAATCGATTGGCTAGTTAAGTAATTAACTTTAAAAGTTATGTTTTTAACCACTAATTTATTGTAGGTTAATAACACACAAAGTGATTGGAGTTTAAAATGGAAATGTCATGTATCCAACTATGATTCTGAATGGGTTCTACTCGTCATTTCATTTATTGTACTTTTACTGCCTATCTTATTTTATTTTATAAATTGGTTAGTATCCCAGGAAAGATCCAATATATTATTATCACGTAAGTATTTTTTTGGACTTAATTGTTAATTTGATAGTAAATAATGTTGTGGTTAACTTGAAATATTCATTGCTTCATAGAAAACCGTTGGCATCAAAGATTTACTAATAATGCAGCATCAACTTCCGGTTACGTTGTCATATCCTAAGTTAGTGTTTCTGTTGATTGGACTATCAGTACTTCAGAAATGTTTATTGCATTCATTTTACTGTGACTCAAGTATGATATAAGCTGGTAAGAAAATATGTTTATTGGTGTAACATCAATTGTTAAGTTAGTTAATCATATTTAGTGTCGACTGTGATATTTGTAAATTATGAGACATAAAAAATAAAAATATTATATGTTCAACCTAAAGTATCTGAAAACAAATTGTAACTTAATCATTATTATTATTATTGTTTTATTTTTATAGAATTATACTGTGTTATATTTTATTTTTTTGTAACTCGTCATTCTAAATGCCCAAATACTCATACACACATTGTGTCGAAGGTTCTGTATTCTTTTAATGCTAAACTGATGTAGTGGACGGTCGTTTCTACTCAACTTATCATTGAAAAATGGTGCGAAATAGTGATTGGATGCAGTTATCAATGTGTTCGTCTATTATTATTTTTCTATGTATATATAAACATGTATGAATAAATGCAAATTGTTGGTCTACAGCAATGGTCTAATTCCACATATTCCTGTCCAATGACAATTGAAACTACTGAATATTTATCTATACTATCTTAAAATTTCAAAAGATAGTAATAATATAATTATAATTCAAAAATTAATGCAAAACAACTTTTCAGAGATACTATTCTATGCGTTTATATATTTGTTAATTTCTATCATAAACATTATTTTACTGATATTTTACAGCCATTCAACTACTGATTATTGATTAAACATACCTACCTGCTAAGTGACGATGTAAGAATAAAAAAAAACTAGTTTTGTTCTAAAATTATAATGAATGATATTATTTTCATTCTTATTTTGCATAATGTATGATTAATTTTTCATTGAGTTTCGAAAGACGTGTCTGTTTAATTTGTAGATAACAGTTTTATCATCAAAATTATAATATTCAACTGAATGTTCAATAAATCGAATTGTTGATGATAGTTTACAGTGTTATAGTTGGCTGGAATGTTTATTTGAAAATAGTGTAATATTCGAGTATTTCCATATTCTTTTTTGAATTTGTTTTTGAGTATTTTATTATAAAGATTTAATAAATGTATATCATGCTTTTATTTAAGTAAATAAAAAATAATAATTAAGTTAAAAATTGATCAATAATTGTTGTGTTAAATATTTTGTGACTTAATAATGAATAAATGTCTTAGAATTAATGTTAATTGAAATATAAACTATACATTTATAATTAAAAAAGGTTATGAAATGTGTTATGTTAAAAAATGTAGGTACCATTATGTTTTAGATTTACATTACTGTACAATAATTTACAATTAAAATTATTTTCGTACAATAATAAGCAATTCTAAGCTCTAGATTATAGTTATAACACATTTACAAAATTTTTGTTAGTTAAACAGTATTAACATAACATTACGTTCTCACTGCGGTCGCTGGAACTGTTTTAAAACCTGAATGAAATAAAATTGTTTGTTAAAAAACCGAATTGGTACGAGTGTAATTTTGCACAATATTTAATAAATAAGGTAAATTGTTTAAAATTTTAAAATCTACAGGTTTTTGTCAAGTTCAAATTCTCAATTATTTATTATTAATTATTAGTAGTTACTTATGTGTATAAATACAATATAAAGGCAAACATGTTATTATGAAAATAGTCAAAAATATATTTTATGAAAATTATTATTAGTGTTACATATAATAGCATATAAAAAAAAGAAGGTATATACTTACTCTATTGAGTTTGTTGAATGAAGATCATCGATTCTTAACTTTTTTTGTACTAGACGCTCGTTTGGCAGAAGCTAATGGATTTCTAGGAGTGGTTGGACCATTTGTCAAACTATTAGATTTTCCACTATCTTTGGTCATATTATCTTCACTACCACTATTTCCTGTTTGTGACTCAGTTTCACTGTTTATTTCAGCTAACAATAATAAATAATTTATCATATTAATTTTGATTAATTACTAAAAAAATAAATGATTTTGTAAATACCTTTTTCTTGAGCTTCTACCAAACCACTCACAGCCTAAAAAAACAAAATTTTTAGAATGTGAACTTGCATTGATAAATTCAGATGTTATAGTAATTATAACAGTCTAAAGGGTGGCTTATAGATAACTAGGTTTAAAGTTTAAATAGATATAAAAATAAATTGAAATGAAGTACACAATATTTATTTATTTAATGCTATGTTCAAAATAAGACTATACCTCGGTGGGCAACTTGTGCATATCCCGAGTGGCTAAGTTCCAAATCACTGGTTTTGCGTGTCAACTAGGTGGGGGAAGTGTGACCATTGAAAACAATAACTGGTCGCCCCCGAGGTATCGTCTCATTTTAAACAGAGTATAGTGTAATTTAAATGTATAAGTAGGCATATTTAATTGGTCACTGATAAGTAAAGAGGAGATTACATTAATTTATAATACATTATCTAAACAGTTTTCATCGGACATAATTATGGAAGTTACAAATATCAGTATGGCAGTGTCCAGCCAAAATGAAGATTTATAGAATAATAACAGAAAATTTAGCTAATATGCAAAAAACTGCTTTTTTTTAAGCTACCTATACTATACAATTATTATTTATAGAAAATAAAAACTTACAGCCATAGAAGTAATGGAAGATTTGGAAAAAAGACGCTCAGCTTCTTTAAATTTCCTGTTCCGTGGTTCATTTTTTGAATTGGGAAGTTTATTTGCTGATGTAAGATATCTGTCCCAACCACGAATGATATTACCGTATAAATGAGTGTCTTCTAAATAACTTCCTTCAAATGCATATATTTGACGTTCAAGATTGGCCAATGTTTCCTACAACCACAATTAATTATTAGTCATAGAAAGAAACAAGTATTTCATATAAATATTAAAAATCTTATTTTATTTCAATGTGAAATGTTATAATAAAATGTAACCATCAATGTAAAAAACACATTTTTTATTTGTCTAAATATTTAGTGCTAAAGTGCAGTATGAATAAACATAGTCTATAATAATCAGAATAGTTGATTATTTTTCTCTATTACTATAAAATCTTAATTCCAAAAGAATTACTTTGAGTCAAACGCATTTTCATTGGTAGTTACTAACTTTTTTAAATTCAAATATTTTTGAACATGAAATACATAGGTACACGGGTGCTGGTAAACACGATATAATTATTGTTGTATCAACACGTACTGTATCTCTGGTCAAACTCTTGCATTTAACACGTAAATTATTAAATTAAATATATCAATCTTAAACGAGTTTGAATGATTACGGCTGGTTGTGATGATTATGATATAGTATTATGCCACACGTAAATACGTAGAATGTAATTTACAATCTAAAATAATAATCTGTTAAAATTAGGGGGTAATGTTGAAAAACCTAGACAACGTGTGGTGCGTTCGAATCGTCCGTGCAAAGCAAACTTACGGCGATATCTGATTTGCGTTTGACGAGCTCGGCCAGCTCGGTGCGCAAGTCGTTGGAACCTGACGACTTGGACATGGCGTTGCGGGCTTAGACGGTGCCAAGTATCTACCGCTCGAATACGTTACCCGTCGTTACCCGCCCAAACCGCGAATGAGGGTTTGATATATATCAATGAAATAATAATTCGTTAAAGCGCCTCTTGACCGAAGCGATGCGCGGTGCGTGGTGCGTCGTCGCCGTTAATAAATTGTTGTTATTAATTGTTGAATCGTTTTAATTTTGATTTTTCGACAGATCACTGATTAGCGATCGGCCATCGGTGTCTGTTATCAGTAAATTATCACGATTCCGCTGTTTGTTCATTTGTTGTCGTCGAAATATTGGCGGGACCCGAAAACGGGCGGCGATGTCGGTAACGTTGGTTGCACTGCGCAACTCGCCAATTTAGGCGGCGCGAGCTTTATTTTTTGTCTGCATCCCGCGCGCACCTCTGAGCTTTGTCTTGGCGCTCCGGGTGGATTGATTTAAGGCTTATGCGTATTATTGATTCGCCCACGCGCGTACGCCGACGTACGCGCGCACGGCGTTCGACCGCCTGGCCGGGCGCCTGCAGTATAGTTGGCGGTGGGTTAGCGCGCCGGACAGCAGCTGCACGCGTCAAGCCACACGTCGTCGCGTCGCTATAAATAAAACGGTCGTTTGCACTCGGGTGTTCGGGTGCGGCGGTGTGGGTTGGCGCACTCCGACAAACTCTCCGACCGTCGTCGACGGCTGGACAGTAGTACGTTGCGTGTACCTGTCCGCTGCGAACGGTACCCAATCGAGTTCGGTCGACGGAGTCCATACGGAGTGCCTGCAGTGCTGATCGCGGATGTCCGACTGGGGACAAATCGCCGGAGGTAATTTTAGTGTGGATGTCTTCGTGCCCGGAAGAGAAGTATAATATATATATAATATTGAACGTTACCCATCGGGCCAGCAGTACTATTAAACGATGCCTTTTCAATAAATGGGAATAAGTACAAATTCGATGATATTATAATATAGGTACCGAATAATATGATCGAATTCATTAAAAATAAGCATAAAGTGTTTATGTCTCAATTCTATAATGCATAATGCATTATTATATTGCATACCTCTACGTATTGATGTAAATTGGTGGAAAGAGAGTAGGAATTGGCTAGGAAAAAAACCAATTGAAATAATAGTTTTAATATTATTCTTATATAGCGGTATCGTTCATACGATAAAATGACTGAATATCTGTTATTTTCTTATATGCAATATTGGGTCAAATATTTTAGAGATATAACTTGAAGTGGTTTCTTCACTTTTCCGGCCAGACAGCACCCAATGTCCCAATATATGTACACACACACACAGGCACATGGTCCAGTCGGTGGAGGAGGATCCAAGGATCGAGAGGGAATGGTTGAGACATTGTATGCAGTGGCTCGACGAAGGGTAATTTCAGGGAATTTCCGATTTTTGGTTGGTGGGTGTATTTTTTCCCGAGTACGTAGGTATTTTGTATACTCGTAAGTGTTACTTTGTTTTAAGTTTGAGTTAGAAATATCTTCTAATTAAACTCAAGATTTTTGTTGTTGTTTTTTTTTTTTTGGGGGGGGGGGGACAGACAATTTTCCTCCTTTCCTTACATACAAGTAAACAATCACCACTAATTTTTAATAATCATTTTTTTATACAAATTAGTTCATAATATCATGTGTGTATTTATATTCATAATATAATGTTTATAACTCAACATGACGTATCAATTCAAAATGTAATCAGTTTTTATCAAATATGATAGTTTTTTCGGAGTAACTAATAACTAATAAAGTAATAAGTGTTTTTTATATTAAGGATATGTACAAAAAAATTTAATTTAGATTTTAAACTAATAAATAATAATCAAATTTGAACACGAATACGGCATACGTAGTAAACACAACTTAAAATCAAATAAACTGCAACTGTGACAGTTCAGCTGTCTAAACGAGACTTCATGCCACAGATAGTCTCGAGATTCGGCAGTTAAGTCATAACATAATTATAATTGTTAGGTATCCTAGTTGTCGATCAAAGGCAGCAATCCGACGTAATTACTGGTACCTAGAGTTTTTTAGTAAGTACCTATAAATCTATAAAAATAATTTTCTACAAAATAATCGATCGGCGATTGCCACAAACCTTATAATGTAGGTACGACTTCTAATGTATATCGTTATCTAACATAACAATGAAATTTGAAAATAAAAACCATCATCATTCATCATTTTAATATATCCATGACAAAACAATAGTATGTTATAATAATGTAAAATCTAATATAAAAAATTTCTTTGGGGGGTGCGCCACTGATCATATTATATACCTAAATAGGAATACACTAACACATAGATACACCACACACGATTACAATTTCCATTTTAAGTCCACACAATAAACCGTATAAACGTAATTCGTACACATTCGTCCACATAATAATATTATGTGGACAATGATTCGTAAGAGAATTATAGAAATTCTGTGTAAACGTATTTAGTAATCGTCATTTGCACAAAGCCTTTCACGGCTTCAAGCGATAAATCCTATAAATATCTATCTGTGCCTACCTAATAAAGTTTTGTGCAGCCTTTCCCCCTCTCTCATTAAAAAAACTGAGCACTGGATTCGACGATGTAAATATGACTGCCAATTGGGATCCGCGTTTTGATCGTTTTTTTATATCGATGTATATCCTTGTGCATTTTTTCAAACTCAACTGCAGTGTTAACGTAAAAGTTTTCTCGCTCTATATGGCTGGCACAATTTGGTCTTGAAAAAATGGAAAATTGACACGAGGAGCCAGGAGCGGGTTACCCTAGCTCTCGGGTTAGACACTCTAATTGCACCAATGTTTATGCTATATGTATACCAGGGGTGGGCAACTGGTGGCCAGCGAACCTTTTTTATCTGACCCCAGCTACATTTTCAAATTTTTTTTTTTTTTAATTTTATTTAAGCTACCAATATAAAATTATTACAACTTAACAATTACAACTAAAGATACATTAACAAATAACAATACAAGAACATTTTCAAATTACATCATACAATTTTAAAGATTATCGTCTATACTATATAATCTATTTAACATCAAATAAAATGTATATTTTGAATGACCCTTTTTTTGCTTTTTATACTCTGGCCCACTAGATTTTAATTTTCTAAAAATTGGCCATCTAGTGACTTTGAGTTGCCCATCCCCGCTATATATCATATCTACAGTCAATAAGGAATAAGAATTAAGGATCGACTTGGCTTCTGTTAATATTCTAAATGGCAAATATTTTAATCACATTATAATTTGCGTTCATTGTTATTTGTCGTTAATGTAAGACAATCTTACTGATGAATTGAGCCAAACAATCAATATTTGTATTATTTTTATACTTTACTATTACTATGAAGTATGTGATGTAATCAACTGTTCATGAATTTCTTTTTTGACCAATAAATATTCTCTCTTTCTCACCTCAGTAAAAATCATAAAGGTATCACTGTTCTACCCCCGTTGATAAATAATTTAATAAATACACTCATGAGTAGGTACGAATTTACTACGATATTGTGGTTATAATGTCATGTATTATACATTATTGTATTATTATACATAGTTATATGATTTATTATAAATGTACGAAACGTGCACTGCTGCTGCAGTCTGCAGGTGTGAATATAAAATTATTGTGAGGTTCGTATTTCAGATTAGTCTGCCGCGCATTTGACCCGAATCTTTACGCGCATCGAAAACTCATCCCTTGCTGACTTTCTTTGTTAATTGTATTGTATGTTTTGCAAGTGTTTTCCGGAACTTTGTGGTTTTCCATCGATTAGTAAATACTAATTTATGTAGGGAACTTATCTATGATGAGTGGTGGTCATTGAATCAAAGATTAAACTTATTCTAAATACCATAATAATTGTATATACATATTTATAAATATTGGTACTGTTATTGCCTTATTGGGTTCGAACTACCGATGTTTCTTTAGTTTCTTATTACGGTCACAGGCTTATACTAACCTAAAAAAAATTAAGGAAGTTAAAAAACAGACAGTAATTGTTGAGCTATAATTTAAATCGACAAATATTTGTTTCTAACATTTATTTTGTACATTTGTTTAAAACACTTTTTTCGCTATAAAGACGTTTGAGACATTATTAAAATTTGAACATTTTTATTTTAACTAAATCAGTATGGGTTTACAGATTTACTTTTATACCTATACAATTGTTTAAATTTATATTATAATGTAGGTATAATTGTATCATTGGTATATTATATTATTTATAATTGTCCTGCCAGTTTTTCAATATCAGTTTGGTATATTTTCTTTAATTAATTAATTTTTTTTTATTTATATCATTAAATCAAATATAAATTGTACAAATTATAAATACAAGCATATAAATATAAATAGGTATAAACAACAATATCTCTTATGGTCTATGAATTATTATACCTAACTTCTTTAAGCCTTACATTAAATATTACCAATGTTGTTAAATATTTTTTTAGGAACATCCTGAGGTATAAACATGGGTTCTTATTTTTCATATGGTTTCAGAAATTATATTGTTTTTTAACTAATATATGGATATATTTATTATATCATATATGTACAATGTAATACGTATATACCATTTTACCACCAGTTCAAGATAACTTGATATGTATTTTTTATGTTTCAGATTAAAATGTCGGTCATAACCATATGTAAAGCTGTCGAAGAAATGAATACGTTTAAAAGTCAACCAACTACTAAGCTTATCAATGCTTCTACTTTATCAAAGTTATCCGAGAAAACATCAATAACTGTACCATCTACATCATCCGTCCAATCAAATCAGATATTGCTGATAAACAATGTAGAAGGACAACCCGTCTCTGGTATATTATTACCTTCTAATCATTTCATGCTAAAATTGAATCAAAACCAGCTCCAACCCGAATCAGATCCAGATGATAATACAGAGCGTGAATCTACTTCAAAATATTTTTCAATGAATAAGAGTGAAAAGAAAATGTTTAGAGAAACATTTTTTTGTACACTTCTAGATTTTATGCACGAAATTGTGAAAGATGGTCGTATTGTTAGTTCTTCTGATCATATTTGGGAACGTGTTGCTTCAAAATTAGATAATATACTTAAACCAAAAAGTATTTACAATCGTTTTATTCTAAATAAACATTCTTGTAGAACGAGATTAATCGAAGCATATCTTAAAGACCCTAAAAGTCAAACTACGGATATATCAATACTAAACCATATGATGAAAA